AAATAGGGGTGCGCAACCTTCTAGAGTGAAGGAGTAGTGTGTCAATTTTTTCTCAGTTTGACCACTAAAAGGTCGCAAATCATTTTTCTCGATAAACTAAGTAATAAATAAGAGAATAATGTACTTTTAAATTTTAGAATATTTATTTTAAAAAAACTTACCGGGTAACAACGGTGTATAAATCAACATTTTTAACCCCAAAATTGTACGAAAATCGAAGGGTCGATTTATACACGTATAATAAAGTCGGACACACGTTTATCGTGAAATATTAATACATTATAAACAATGAAATTAACTTTGTATCAATTTCTACAGCATAGACTTTGCAAAAACTATTATTAATATGTTGTATGCAATAATCTTTGATTTTTCTTTTGCAATATTTGTTTGCATGTGAAGGTCTTCTTTAAAAAAGAAACATTAATTATGTTTATAAAAAAAATATTACCAAGGAAAGTAAAGATAATTTATTCAAGAGTAATTCAAAATATGCAGCACAATGACACATTTTAAAGCATAAAAGAAAGCTACAAAAGTTTAAAGATTCCAGATTATAATCTATGTTGGATTCAATCACGTTAAAGGTATCTTCATACTGATTCCAGTCTGCAATGGATTCTACTTCATTCTTTATCTGCTGAATTCCACAAAAAATCGACTTCCACAAAGAATTTGATATTTCAAACTTCTTAAACAATAACATTCGATTTCACTTTTTTCCAAGGTTTAGAATCTTCTCTGTTCCACAGTAAAATGGCCGTTAATGGAGGTTGGTCGTTTTTAGGGGTTACTTTCACTGACTTGAAAATGTTATCGAAGCTACATGATTTTTCGCAAACGATTTTTATTTTTGTGTAATTTTCTCTGTGCGGAAAGACATTTTGAGTCGGCGTCATGAAAACCAGACAGATGATTTAAATTTAGCGTCAATTAAAATGATTCCTACTCATATAATTATGCGTAAAAACAAATTTACAATTATGAATGATATAGCCATTTTAAATAATTACGCAATTATGTTTTTTGTTTATGTTTGTATTTAAATTTATGCCATAAAAGTTCGTTAGCTTTAAAAAGGGAAAGAAGTTTGTTAGTTTGAGATGCTTAGTTTTTTCTCAAATAACTTTTATTCCTAATTCAACTTTCAACTTTAAAAATAAATCATTATTAGCATCGTCCTTATTGCACTCTGACTGCAACATGAGTTTGTAGATCTTTTTCAGAGATCGTCAAAAAGAAGTCTATAAGTAAGAGCCTCACGCAAATATTTCAATTAGATTACTTATTTGCTTTGGTGATTTTAATATTTTTTCATGTTTCCCTTTTTGACCCTTTCGCATTTAGTGCAGATGTTTGACCTGTCACTGGGGGGGGGGTCAGTTTGATGGTCTCTCCTAAAGGTTTTCTTCGACACAAAGTCGCCAAAAAACTCCGTGACTCCCAAAAGTGATCTTAAATAGAGAAGGTTGCTACATAGAATTGATCTTATATAGTGATCTGACTATATTTTTATTATATAGGGCAATTCCACGGAAGTGTCAACTTTTAAGTAAAATTTCTTTTTTATGAATTGCATATTTTAATTTTAAAAATATGTTCAAAAATAGCCAAAGTCTACATATTGTCGTTTCATTTTTGATAATTTTAAATTTTTTGAATCTGGCAGCATTCTAAAGTAATCACATGGCTGACAAGTGAATTGTCCACATTTGTGCTAAAATTGTTTTCTTGAAAAATACTTATAAAATAAAAGAAATGTATCTTTCTTTTGCAATATTTTGATAAAAATATGCATATAGAACAAAATTTAAACATTTAAAACATTATCATTTTAAGTTTAATATATAAAATAAAAGTAACTTCTTTTACGTCATTCCGTCACATGTCTTAATAATGCATACATTTCCTGAGAACGAAGATAAGATGTGACATTGGCAAGTTAGATATAAAACCTCTTCAGAGACAAACTAATTTTCAAACTGTTGAAATTTTTACTAATTCTTACATAAATATTAATCCTGTTTAGCTGTTACATTCTGTTTTGTCATTTACATATTAATAAAACATTTTTTAAATGAAGGCTTTCTTCTACTAAACTTTTTGTCATTCCGTCACGGTCATTCCGTCACAGCAAATAGATGTTAATAACTGTTAGCCAACCTGAGGTTAATTTTCCAAATTCACATTTTACATTGTTACACATTATACTAAAAGTATAAAATAGTTCAGAAAAATAATAGCTTCAAAATTCGCAGAAACTACCAGTTCTAAGCGGCATGCCAAAAGCTTGGTTGCAAAATGTCATTCCGTCACGCAAATAAAAAGTTCGTAAAATTAAAAGTAAAAAAGATAGAAAATCCTGTTTTTTTAGTTTATGCAGCGCATTATGCCAATAATAATGATATGCATTAGAAATTTTTTTTTATTTGAAATTAGATACATAGAAACTTCAATTAATTGTTATTTTGCAAGTCAAATCATTCCGTCACATATGGAATTGCCCTATAAGGTATAGATTGAACAAAAAGAAATATTTCGTTGAAAAACAGGAATGCAAATCTTTTAATGAAGTTAAAGAGATTCAAAGTGAGTTAAGTTTAAACAAAATCCATATAGAGCAAAATAAGGTCCGACATTTAGAAGAAAAAATTCTCTAGTTGAAGAAAATATTTTTTTAATGCAATATTTGTTAATGTTTCAATTTTCCTAATTGAAATGATTTCCCCAGTTATACTACTATTTAGCTATACCAGTTATACTGCTATGTATTTTTATTTAAAAAAGCGTTTAAAAGCTAAACTTTCAAATAATATACGGACTTATGTATTTTTAATATGAGAAATTTAAAAGAGCTCTGCCGAGTTGTAAAAAATACTAATTTACTCAAAATAATAATCTATTTTTATTTTACAAAGACTAAGCACAGCTGAAACTTCCCATCTTTAAAGTTATAGCCAAAAATAATAATAATAATTTAAAGTAGAGTTTCCCAACGTGGGGAGGCGCATTTGAAGGCGAAACATAATGCTCATATTAATTCAGATTTAAATTACTTTCAAACTTTAAAGAAAAACTTTGAAAAGAGGACAACAGTAAAGTCTCTATTTACTGCTCACACTTCAACTCATAATCGTATTCTTGAGGCTAGTTATCAAATTTCCTTATTCATCGCTAAATCTGGAAAAAAATCATACTATAGGAGAGAATTTCATAAAATCGTCAATATCAGCATTTCTTAAAACGGTTCTTGAAAAAAATGACAAAGATGTAAAGGCTATGCCACTCAGTAACAATACTGTTACCAGAAGAAAAAATGAAATGAGTGAAGATATTGAAAAACAACTTGTTGAAAAGCTAAAAACAAGAAAATTCTCAGTGTAAATGAATGAATCAACTTTGATAGACAGTGTGGCAGTATTGATAACTTACGTAAGATTTATTGATAAAGAGCATTTTGCTGAAGAAATGTTGTTTTGTGAAAGATTACAAAGCACCACTACCTCCAAAGATATTATATAATAAGCTAAAAAAAAACTACTTAGATGTCAATAATATACCAAAAACAAAATATAACATCTTGTGCTGCAGATCATATGCTCCTAATATGATGGGCAAGAAAAATGGCTACTTAAAGTTGATGAAAGATGCGAATCCAGTGCTTCTTGTGCATTGTGTTATTCATAGGGAAAATTTGGTAGCTGAAAACATCTCGCCTGTTCTAAATGAAGTACTACATTCAGTAATAAAGTGTATCAATGCTATTAAATCTAATGCCAAATGTGAGCGTTTCTTCAAGCTATTTTGTGAAGAACAAGATGCAGAATGTCAGAAATATATTAACAACAAAAACTTTGATTGGCTCCAAAAATGTGAAGTAAATAATACCGCTTTACTTGTTATTGTCGATCATCTGAAAATTCTATCGGCTGATTTAAAAGAATGATTTTCTGCTATAAAACAAATTGATTTTCCAACATGGATGATGCAGCCAATGTTAGTAGATTTGTCTGATATATCAAATATGCAGTATCAAAAGGAACTCGCAGAAATGCAAAATGATGAGTCAGTTAAGACTTTAATTAATGTAAAAGGAGTGATGGCATGGCTTTGTGAGGAAACAGAAATCAAATACCCAAATTCAACCAAATATGCAAGAAAACTATTGCTAACCGTTTCCATCTTCATATTCAGCTGAATGTGGATTTAGTGCTGTAAATGATTTACTGGTAAAAAAAAAAAAAAGAAATCGTCTGGATATAACACAGCGGGGAGACTTGAGGCGGAAGCTAACCAAATTGGAACATAAAATCTCTGTGCAGCAAGCATCAAGCACAAGGATCTCCCTAAATTAAAATATTAAATTACTATAGAAAAAATGTTCTTAAAATTATTTCGACTTTGAATTTTAGTTTTTCATTATATGTTTTGAAAATTTACTAACTGTGTATCGTTAACAATTTCCATGTGATTTCTTCTTAAAACCTATCATTTAAGTTTCTTAAATGAACAATTCAAATTTTTAGCATTAAAAATCACGTATATGTTACATAGGGGGGCATAAGAGTTTTAGAAAGGCTTAGGCGAGGCATGGCACAAAAAAAGATTGGGAAACACTGGTTTAAAGTATATACAATATGGTAACTACGAAAATCTAATTTGAGAAAAAATGGAAAGGCATAAAAAAAAATTTCTACTTTTCCTGAAATCAGCATCCAAAAATCTATCATTAGTTTCAAAGCAATTTTTCGATGGATACCTGAAAATAACGTCATCGCAGGTAAATCGTGGCAGGTTTGTCGATTCACAAGCCAATCAGGTTCGACACAAACGCGTGACGTCGCTTACAGGTATCCAATTAAATCCGATTTAAATCACATGGTTAGGCATAATCACTTCATTTCTTCTTGAGTTGCAAGTACCCATTTGGAATTTTTTTCTTTCAAATTTCATGATATACAAAAGGTAGGCAACTTATTTATATTGCAATATTTTTTTAGGTCACAGTTTTCCTTGTTCCTGTCGCCAAACCATTCAGAATCATTTATCAACATCACAATCATTAACTCAGGTGTCTCCTCGTTTCACTACTCTGAATCCCCCACATAATTCTATAACTTCACATACTATGCCAATACCAATATCAAATGGGCCTTTACCAGCTTCCCAGCAATCTAACAGATCACCAGAGTCAGCAAAACCTAAAAGCAACGGTGATAATAAACCCAGGAAAGCAACTAAGGAAGCAAAATTGAGAAGACATAAAGGAAAAAGCAGAACAAATACAGGTAAATAAATTACTACACTAATGTGTAAATAATCATAAAAATAACAATTTTTTGAAAAATTATTTAAATGAAAAGTAATTGGATAGAAATATACGGTTTGCTGCGTTCTCCTTAGAAACTAGTTTATTTATTTTTGTGAAATTTCCAAGTTACTTACAAAGCTCGTCAACAGATGGCGATACCGACTAAGAAAAAACATATAACGATGTTTCTAAGATAACTGCTGATTGCATCAACAATGTGATACGATCAGATGACAAAATTTGTAAGGGCCCGTGCAAATATTTGTGTTGGAATAACTGATATGCATATTAAAACATTGATATATTATATATTATATTCAGTCACCAGCGCCACTTGTTGGCAAGCTTTGTAACTAAATTTGAAATATCATGAAACTCTGGTTGCGTAAATGGGTCATAACAAACTGTGTATTTCTCTCTCCTTCTGATTTCTTTTGATTTTTAAACCATCGGTCATTTTCAGGACACCAAATGAAATATATATTATAATCTTGCATACATTATTCCAATTGTTTTGTATACATTTAGTGGATTAAGTTAAAATTTTTGATTTTCGCCTTTTCGATGTGCTTTGTTTTTAGCAAACTTTTGATGATAGAATATTATCCAACATCACAACACGCAACTTATTGAAAGCTTTTTTTTTTTAAATGAAAAAAGGAGTAAACAGTTTGTTCCAGGACTTCTAAATTGCTCCCTAAAAAAAATTCAAAAACAAGTGTCACTAGAACTGAAGAAAGGATATTTTAAACTAAAATTTCCATCCATAAAAAAACAAAGAATGAAAAGTGGCTAAAATTTGAGGAAATAATTATAATTTTAGAAACCAATGACAACAAAAAAATGCAGTATAAAGCTCTGATTTTTTTTCACTTAGTGGAAGGAGATGAAATTTATATATTTTAGCTTCCTCTTCATTTACCTGATTTAGATCTTTGTGATCTTTTTCTATTGGCTCTTTTATTTCTTTCTGTAAAAATTACATTAATTGCTGCAAGAGCGCTTTTAGAAGAAAAAACGAATCGCTAAACAGTTTGTAAAAAGTAGAGTGGAAAAACTAATTTTCTCTCATCTTGAGGAAAAACTCATTATTAACTTTGTTTCGAAGGAACGAAATTATAGAGTATAATGGTGAGATAGAATATAAAAGTTAATTATAGAATATAAAAGTTTAAATAATTATAGAATATAAAAGTTTAAATTTCTTTGGCTAATAAGTTTTTTTTATGATCTTTTTATTTCCTTGTTTTGGAAACTTAAAACAGATATGTATTGCTTCCAGCAGAAGGTCGAGAATGTGTAAATTGCGGTGCGACGTCCACTCCTCTTTGGCGACGAGATGGCACTGGTCATTACTTGTGCAATGCATGCGGTCTTTATTATAAAATGAATGGACACAGCAGACCTCTAGTGAAGCCTAAAAGAAGATTGGTAAGTGAAACAGTTGCACTTTATTATCTCTTAATTCTTCATTTAATCCTTTTCTTAATAACTATACTACTCTAAAGAATCCCTCTTGCCGCATAACCCCTGGTTAACGTTGTTTTTCGAAGCTCTGTCACCCAGGAAAATAAAGAAGCTATAGTTTAAGTACCTTACACTTGAAGCAATGCGATGATTTTAAGCTATATATATAATCTTGCTGTGAAGAGTTATCTGGGCATTAGAACAGACGTATAACTTAAATATTTTAAAAGTTAAACTTTTTGAAAAATCGCCAATTTGGCGCCATTTTTCCTACCAGATAAAAATCACCAAAATAACTGCCTTGTTTTCAGTTTTTGCAAATTTTTATGAGCCCAGATAATGCAGCATTGGAGTAAGATTTTAAATATTAGAAAATTAGACCACAAACGCTTTTCCTTTTCACAAAACTGTGGCTTTTCTCCATATTGGCGTTTTGCGCCATTTTCAAAATATAGGTAGACAGTGCTGGCTTTAGATAGGCTAAACACGACCTAACAGTCATAAGTAACAGTTGCAAACTCACAGCAGTTATAAAAATAGCATATTATTCGCAGAAAAGCATCATTTCATGTTACGACGGAGTCTTCGAAAAACAGCCTTAAAGGAACGTCATACCACGGGAGAAACTTTTCATTTCTCCCGGACTTCTTTTTAGAAAAAGCTAGTTCAAACAAACTTAGAGAAAACCCTGAAGTTTCAAGTACTAAAACGAAAATTTCAAACTAAAAATGAGAAGGTAACTTAGGATTACGTAATGAAGAAGTTCTCTACAAATAATTTATTTGTATTTTGATGTTTTGACTTTTTTTTTCAGTGATAGCTTATTTTATTTTATTTTTTTATAACCATCGTTGAACAGCCGACCCAATTTTGGTTTCACGATTACTAATGTTCAACTCCGTAGCCTTGTAATTTTTTAACACAATACAGAAGACAAGGGAACTCCTGGATCAAGTATTGGGATAAATTTTGTGGAGTACTTTTTGATGAAAATAATTCGCCTTTGTGTTACATGAAAAGGAAAAACCACGAAGATCTCCCACAGTTGGACTAATGGCAAGAAAAGTCTAACCTATGTTCCTTCTACCACTGAGGATATGTTACGTCAGCACTGTGGTCGGTGCTAGCCGGGTGCGGAATTCGTATCGACCATCCATTGCTGGGATTCGAACCCGGTTTACCTCATCGGAAGGCGAATGCTATCCCCTGAGCAACCATGGCTCTTTTTAGCTTATTGTAGGTTTGCCTGAATTCATTTTTTTCTTTCTTTTAAATTTTAAATTAGTAATGAAGATGAAAGAGAATTTGAGACAAAAAGTTTCTTCTGTTGCATGCCGTCCTCTTAAGCAATTTCGCCACTTATTGAATGCAACATTTTTTCTATTAGAGGTCTTATCGTGTACATTTGTCGCAACTTTAATTTAGTACAAAATCAAACCATATTATAGTACTAATTAATTTTTCTTGAACTTGGTTGCACAATATTATGATTCAATTTAACATTTTATTAAAATTGCAATACAGCAAGTTACAACGCTGAACAAATTTTTCTTAGGTCAATTTGTATTGACATTGCCAAAAGTTCTTTTTTTGCTGACACTGCAATTTTTTAAAACAATTAATCAAAAATTTGTTCACAATCATATATGTTAGTAAAATTTTAAAATTTAAATTCATAAAAGATGTAGAGTAATTATCATTTTCAATTACATTTAATTAAAAAAGAAGTTTACTATTTGTTATCTCCTATCTATCCATAAATTTTCAATATTTTCTGAGAAAGTTGGTTTGGTACTATAAATGTCAGTTAGTTTGTAACTAATGATTAATTATCGAAAAATCATGAAATTTTATAAGAAAAATCCAGTTGACTAAGAAACTAACTATACTGACTATGGAAGAATAGGACTTTCAACGTTATTTGGTCAATTTTTACCAAATTTTTCATAACTCTTACCCGATATAGGACAAAACATAACCAAATCAATGTTTTTTTTTTAGATAAAGGACATTTAAGTGTGAAATAAATAAGCAGCTTATAGAGTAGCTGCAATGAACATTGAATTGGATCGTCAGGTTTTCTTCGATGTTGTGGTGTAATGTACAGTACTCAAAATAAAATAGCGGAACACCCAGAATAACTTTTAATCTAATGATCAGATTTTTACGCACTAAAACTCAATCTTAATGGCTCGAAGGAGTGGCCTTAAATATCTAATTAGTTAGTGCAGACGACAATTTAAGTTATAAAATCAAACACTTCTAAATAAACATACTCCCCCCCCCNCCCCCCCCCCCCGGTGTCTGGAAAATGTGGTCCCAAAAGCATAAACAAGAAAGTGGTCGAAAGTTTGGACCCCTTGATGCTTATTTTACTTTTAGAATATTCCGTCATTTCTCGAGAACGTTATAAGCGAATTAAAAAATTTTGCACTCAATTATAAGATTTATCTATTCAAAGACTATTCCATACAAAAAATAACCTTTAAGTAAGTATATATTATTTTTTATTATTATTTTCTTTCCTAATAGTCAAAAGAATTTTGAATTCTAAGATATACAAATACTTAAATTATTTTAAAGATTGTAATTTTATTGCAAAGTACTAAATTTGAACGAAATCTGTCAAATATTTTCTGTGAAATCAAATTTTAAAAAAGTCATACATTTAAAATTCATTTCTCTAAAATTATCAGACTAATTTTGTTCGAACTTTAAATTTTGTCAAATAAAATCACGTTTTTTGAAATGATGCAAAAATTTGCATACCTTGCAAATTAAAATTTTTTCGACTAATGAATAAAATAATAAATAATGATAAATATATATAAAAAATTTTTCATGGAATTATCTTCGGAAAAACTAATTTTATAATTGCGGGAAAAATGTTTCGATTCGCTTTAAAAGTTCTCGAGATATAGCGAATACGTAAATAGTAAAATTAACAGTAAGGTGTCCACACTGCTGTCATGACCAAACTATTTGAACCATATATCACAGATAATGGCTACTTTTTATATCTTTTGGACCAGAAATGCAATATATGTCTGTAAAAAAATTACCTCTATTCATAGGAAGTACGTTTTGGTGTCTCGTAACTTAAAATATCATTTGCACGAATTAATTAGCATATTTGAAGACAGCCCCCCGTCTCGAACCATTGAGTCCCAGTATGGAAATCTATTCAAAAGTTATTCAAAATGAAACGTTGCTTTTTAATATCGAAAATACTTGCGAATAAATATTAAGTTAATTAATAAGTATTGTTGTAGTACTACATAAGTTTCATTGGTTTTTAAATTATAGGCATCATTGATTTTTAAAATCGTAATTTCAATTTTGTGATTTTGTGACAACGTGATTGCTATTGCAGATTGTAATTGCAAGTTTATAACTTTAAGATTTCTAAATTTTTAATAGAGCTGCAAGTGCAAAACTGTACACTGTACATACAAAAGAATAAAAATATTAAAACGTTCACCTTCTTAAGGCAGGTTCATGAGACAAAAATATCTATTCCACATGAAAATACCACATATTCGGTTGTGTTAAGTGAAAATACATCATTTGGGGAAAGTAAAAAGTTATTGCCAAAATGCAAAAGAGAATAAAAAGGGACAATATTTTAATAGAACGATCTAGCTTTTCCAGATGAAATAAAGACGTTATTGTTTTAAAGATTAACAATAAATGACCCTACGTAGAACACGACTCAACTAAAGTAGTTTTTGGCAGCATTTGTAGGGGGAAAAAACGTTTCTATCAGCTCTGAGGGATTTTAAGTCATTAGTCGGGGACAGGTGCTTCCCGGAATATAAGAGATGAAGATAGCTATCTTATCAGATGCCACAGATCTGTTGGAGATTCCGCAATTGGAGAATGCGACTTGCGGTAATTTTTTGAATTGATATCACTCGTTGGACGGAATCTGGTACCTACACATGTTTTTTATTTTTAATTTATAACCGTTGTTGAACAACCAGCTCCATACACATGCTTAGGAATGTTTGTTATATTGTTTCATTAAAAAAATTTTGCCGGGGTGGGGATAACTTTATTTAACATATGGGTGTTCAAATTTCATTCGCCAAGGGAAATATAGGAAAATAAAAAAAACATATCGACTCCTGTCCGGTAAAATATAAAAAATTCGTGGCAAAAATAATTTAATATTAGCATTTTATTTATTTATTCATCAATTATTTATTTATTATTAATTATCGTTATTATTATTAATTACCATTGTTTATTCACTATTATTTATTTATTATTAATATTAATCATAATTATTTATTTATTATTATCATTATTTACTTAACATATATTTATTTATCATTATTTATTTTTTTTAAAAAAAATAGGATAAAGTGATCAAATAAAATCATTCGTAGATGAATTTTATCTGGAATTTTTCAAAAGCTTTAATTGTAAATTAGGCAATACTTTTTTTTTTTTTCTGGCTGCATTTCGTCGTGTTTTTATATTTCATGTATTTCCTGTTTCTGCTTGTCAGTAAAAAATTTACTCTAGTTTTACTCTGTTTAGCTCATCAAAACATATTTAAAATTATTCAACAAAATTTGCTTAATATCATTACAGCATACAGGAAGCTCATAATTTCAATCAAATGATGTAAAATCATTTACTTTACTTCTTCAAAATATTTCTTCCAGATTTATTTTAGCGAATATTTTATAATTCTCAAATTCTAGAAAACAATTAAAGTAGAGAAAGACCATACAAAATGAGTTCTGAAAATATAGCAACTAAATGAAAAATATACATAAAGCACTTATAAACACGCTATTTAAAAAATATTCGATAACATATATTAATTTGAACAATGAATTCATTTGAAAACGGTAGTCCATTTATTTTGGTCCTATTCTGCCATGCAATTGAAAAAAATAACGTGTGTATTTCATGACAGATTTCGAGTAAAGTGGCTGGACAACTATTTTTTG